CTCGACTTACGATTATACTTGATTTAGGCTCCGAATGACTCTTCATTAATTCAGTCAATTCGTTGTATGACTTATCTGTTACTTTAGCTGGTGCAAGCAAGTCTTTCATTAGACTGTATGTCCTCGAATTGCACACCGTGAGCAAGACAGCTCGTTTCTTGGCGTCGTCCTTTATTTCATTTGCGATGAAATACTGCTCGACCCTTTCGACGAAGTCTGTCCAATTTTCACCATCCTGGAATTCCCGAAGAACACCTAATTGTGCCATGACTCTCAGGAAGTTTCACTGGTTGTAATTCAAGTATTTTTATCCTCGTCGCCACTGTGATAGCTTCGATGATTATTAAAAAGTAGAATGACTCTGGGAGTAAACTTCAACACGTCTACTTTATTTCAATACATAACACAGAGTAAATCCCGCCTCAAGCGGTAATACAAATGTAGTGTCGGCACGACGCACCTTGATACTACGCGCGCGCTACTATCCAGGGTATGGTTATTATGGTTACCAGTTCATGTAATAGTAAACAATTTATGAATATCACACATACATATATGAATATGTATATATACATACATATACATTATATACTGTATTTATTATATATATATAATATATATGTATTCTTTATTATATTATTTATATATATACATACATACATACATATATACATACATATATATACATATATATACATACATATATACATACCACATATATATATATACATACATACATATATACATACATATAATTTTCAATTTTATTTTCATTAATTTTCTCTGGTTATAATTTTTTCTTTCTCTTTTCTTTTGTCTGGGCGTATTCTTTATTTTTTTTATTATATATATATACTGTCATATATATATACATATACATACATACATATATATATATATACATACATATACATACATATATATATATATACATACATATATACATACATACATATATACATACATACATATATACATACATATATATATATATATAAAACGGATATTTCGATATATATTTATAATTGCTACATTACATATTCATTTTTCATACATATACAATAATAATTTAAAATTATAACTTCTTAACTATACATAGGTCTAACAATAATAATCTAAAATTATAACTTCTTAACTATACATAGGATTAACAATAACAATCTAAAATTATAACTTCTTAATTATACATAGGCCTAACAATAATAATCTAAAATTATAACTTCTTAACTATACGTAGGCCTAACAATAATAATCTAAAATTATAACTTCTTAACTATACGTAGGCCTAACAATAATAATCTAAAATTATAACTTCTATACGTAGGCCTAACAATAATAATCTAAAATTATAACTTCTTAACTATACGTAGGCCTAACAATAATAATCTAAAATTATAACTTCTTAACTATACGTAGGCCTAACAATAATAATCTAAAATTATCCACTGTTGCCTCAGACATAATATTATTCACCATTACAATTGAATAATTGATATTTATTTAATTACTAAACCCTTGTAAAACATTGTGAAAACAAATAACGACACCACGAATGGAGCCATAATATGTAGCGCCCCCAATTTGCGTCTTCGGCGATCATAAATTTTTTGATTGAATGCATCCTATCAGATATATTAGAATACATCTTCTAATCCGATCGGTAAGTTAGGCGTTCATAATACATGATATGATTAATATCTAAATAGACAATATAATTTGCGTAATGTTCTATATTGTAAATAATATTTATCAAACTTTGGTACGGTTTGACCAACGATGGGTACGGTTTGATCAAAGATGGGTACGGACTAAAATTCTGGGTATGGGTTGACCAAAATTTGGGTACGGTTTGTGGGTACGGGTTGGCATGGGTACGGTTTGACTGTAAAGGCCTAGGGGTACGGCCTACGTAGGCCACTCGCTAACTGATTTCGTTCTACCGGTGTGCTATTACCAAACCTAGGCCTAGGCCTAGATAGGCTTATGATAAAAAACAGAAATTATTAGGTATAAAAAGTGCCAGCCCAGTTAAAAGAAAACCTAGGACTTGGCCTTCTTCTAACTGGACTGGCACTTTTTATACCTTAACTTCTGTTTTTTTTTTAATTTTAGGATATTACTTACTTGGGCAAAGTACGGTAAATAATATCCTACCACTGTACTTATTGAATATTCTTAAGGATCTGCATGTTTCTTAATCAAAATTTCAATTTATCAACTGCCATGTTATTTATATGCAGTACTGTATATGGTAAATGAATCTTGTTAATAACACTGTTATTCTTTCAAATACAGGTTCTCCATCTAAGTTATATGATCATACTAATCCTGATTGGATATCAACAGTCAAGATGGGTCATCTTCAGCACAAGTTGCCAACTGCTGCAAGCCGCTGTGAGAGATTCGATAGAAATGTGCAAAGGGTAGCCAAGAAGAAGAAACAAGAAGCAGCTGCAACCTTGATTGACTTTCAAAATAAATTGATCAGTAACTTAGAGGAAAATAAAGAACAACCAACCATAATTGAGGAACAGGAGAATAGTGTCTCATCTCAAACTGAATTACAATGTATACAATGGCTCGTGTGCACCATAAAGAACCCAGTACATCCTTCGAGACGAGTAGGGGGTTACCCCGGTGTACTGGAACAGACAGACCCTGTGGTGGACGATGAGAGTTGCTAGTACCGGGTTACCGGGTAGCACAGACACGAAGGGACCCTTAGGGGTAAAGAAAGTCATTGGTCGAGTTCCTAGTCCACATTTCAAGCGCCCTGAGCATCTTACATTAGATGGATATATGCGCTATATAAAACTACACTATTATTATTATTATTATTATTAATGGGAGCAGATGTAAAGAAACTTGAAGAAGTGCGACGACTGACAAGTGAAAACATTAGTTTACAGGCCACTGTTGATAACTTCAAATTCTCACCTGATTAATTTAAAGAATCACCAGATAAAGTGAATTATTTCACTGGGCTTCCAAATTATTTAGTTTTAATGTCACAGTTTATTTATTTCCCCTTCATTGTCAGAATTAAAACGAAGTGCATTGGGAAAATTCCAACAGATGATATTAAGCTTAATGAGACTAAGATTAAACATGCCGGTTTCCCTTCTGAGCCACATTTTCAGGGTGTCACCTTCAACAGTGTCAAAAGTATATTCATGTACAGTGGATGCAATGTATGTTTACCTAAGGCATATGATACATTGGCCGGAAAGAGAAGACTTAAGAAAAACAATGCCAATGGCATTTAGAAAGCACTACCAGACAAAAGTAGCTGTGATAATTGACTGTTTTGAGATTTTTATAGAGAGGCTATCAGGCTTAAAGGCAAGGGCTCAGACTTGGTCCTCCTATAAACATAGTAATACTGTAAAATACTTAATTGGAATCACACCTCAAGGTGTGATTTCTTACATTTCAGAGGGCTGGGGTGGAAGAGTTTCAGATAAGTATTTAACAGAACACAGTGATTTCCTTGATTGCTTACTTCCTGGGGATGTAGTGTTAGCCGTCAGGGGTTTTGACATTGCTGATAGCATTGGTTCTGTCTGTGCTCAGCTACAGATACCTGCATTTACAAAAGGCAAATGTCAGTTGTCTGCTAACGAGGTTGAGTCTACACGCAAGATTGCAAATGTTTGAATCCACGTAAAGAGGGTAATTGGCAATCTAAGGCAGAAATATACTATCCTTAATGGAGTAATCCCGGTTGATCACCTGATTATAGCCATCAAGGTGACATCCCAATAATTGATAAAGAAGTTGTAATTTGTTGTACTTTAATAAACATTAATGAATCGGTCGTGCCTTTCAACTGAAAGCTTATAGCTTAAACATTGTAATTTCACAAATTTATTTGGTAATGTTCTGTATGAATGGGCTGACCACTACAAGAAGTTATTTAAACTGTGTTAAAAATGATATTCATAAAGATTTTGTTTTAAACAATATTAATCAAATATAACTGTTCTAGCATTGATGAGAACATTTTCAACGTATATAGCTTATCCGTATATATAGCATGCACACATTGGTCGCATTATTCGATCGAGCCATATTCGCATTGTCTGCCAACATGGCGAATTACGCCAAATTACATGACTAAGTTTTTGAAAACTTGTTGATCAAATACTGTGGGGATACACTTATGTATGGAGACCATCAGTTTGCTTTCGATAGAGTAAATCACTGGTCCTTGTATAAGCAATTAGTTGAACAGGGCACTAACCTTATTGCTGTTAGAGTTCTAAAATCTTGGTATGAGAAACAAAGATTCTTTGTTAGATGGGGCAATTCCCAGTCAAGATGTTTTAAAGTAACAAATGGTGTGAGACAAGGTGGAGTTTTGTCTCCTCTGTTATACAATGTATATATTAATAGTTTGAATACCAATCTAAATAATTGTAATTTTGGATGTGAGGTTAACAAAATTAAACTTAATAATTTATGTGGATAGTTTGAATACCAATCTAAGTAATTGTAATTGTGGATGTGAGGTTAACAAAATTAAACTTAATAATTTATGCCGATGACATAGTGCTACTTGCCCCTTCACTGGATGCCCTTCAAAAGCTTGTTAATCTTTGTGAAGAATATGCTAGTGAATTTGATATTTTATATAAAGTCAATAGCATTGGCACTTTGGAAAATAGAAAGCTTGAATGGAATTTGCTGTCCATTACTTGTTTTGGAATTGTTAGCTTGAGTGTATGTATGATCATTGAACTATGTTGCAGTTGCTTGAGACGTACTATGAAGTGGACCTGCTGATCGAAGTAGAATAATAACAGTTTCTATTTAACTAATCATGAAACAATTTATGCTCATCAAAACTTGCATTGATTTGTGCCTCAAAAATGTGCATGTCAATACCAGTTGCTTTATCGCAATCTTTACATAAGTACATTTGAAAAATATAATTATGATTTAAAACATTTACTATACAGAACGTAATATTTAAGCATGGAATATAAGTACAGTAACGGTATTAATTCTTTGGTGGCAGGTAGTTTTTGGAATGTCTTAATGGTTTTCTTTTAAAACAATAAATTTAAATAATATAACAATAATATAAACTGTACAAACTAATGTTACAAAATAATTAGATACTGTACAGCACTGGAAACTGCATATTTGGGATAAAGTTTGAATGACTTTCAATATTTTTACGATATTGATGTTAAAATTAACGATACAACTTTACTACAGATATCGTCCCCTATATAACGTAGTGGCGAATGTGGAAAAATCAATTTTTTTTTTATTTGTGAATTTAAGTTGTTTTACTGTGTAGAATCTCTGACAAAAAAATTGAGTCAATTTGATAAGTAATTAAGGAAGAAAATTAATTAGCAAAGTGGCGAATGTCGCTATATCAATCGATTTGTTTACTACAAACTGGCGAATGTATCATTTTTCACGCACTACGCATATCACGCGTAGGGTTTTCTCCTTAAACGGCAGTGCGTGCACGTATAAATAATGAGCGTATATCATCCTACTTTATCTTGTCATCATCTTTCTTCTTATCATCAAGTAACAACAAAGATACTTGTCTCTTATACACATCT